GAAGGAGGGGGATTAGTCCTGTCTACTGTTGGCAGCATGTCTTTTAACTTTGGGATCTCAGAGCTGAAGGAATAATGAACAACAACAACAGCAACGAGGAGAAGTTGTTGTTGTAGGTAGTGTGTTTGCAGAATTCACGTACTAGCACAAACAGCCATCATCAAATCTTGAGGAACAGATTTTGGATAAAGCGGCAGTTCCTTTTCACAGCCTTTCATTAAACACGATTTTTACTTAACAGCATTGGACTTAGCAGCCTTTCATCCCACAGGCTTGATATGAAACAATATTTTTATAAACAGCGTTAGACCAAGCAGCCATTGGTATAACATGTTTTCATTTCACAGTCTTTAGAAAAATTTAACAGATCTTGATCGTCTTTGACTTTTAATCCTTTGATTAAAAATAGACTTTCATTAAAAATTCTGTTATGAAACATACTTTTTTCTACATTCTATGATCATTGAGAATAAATCCGAATCAAATGAGTTCTCTGGAATGTCGAGGGAGCACATAGCGAACTAAATGAGATCTAATTTTAAGAGTCGGTGCAGGGGAATTACGTCACTATGACTCGTGTCATTTCCTTTTCCAGGAAATGGTTATTGACCTTGATGTAGATGGCACAATGTCGTCAACAAGTTCTTCAAATGTTGCCCCCCCCCCTCCCAAGCCTTCATAGCAACATTTTACAGCAGAGAGAGATATCTAGAGAGAAAGAAAACAGCTGAATTCTTTGAACAAATGTAGATCTACATAATATTATGATTTGTTCATTTTATATCTTTTTTTCCCTTTTTCTTTTTTTTTGGATTAACATTTAGCTTCTCAATTTCAACAAAATTTGTGTAAATTACATAGCAAACAATACTTCAGATTAAAAAACTGCAAAGAGAAAAAGCCCTGGCTTATGTTTGGCACTGTATAATATTTCAAATGCTGGCAGACGATATGATATTGTTTAAGACGAGTAGCTTGTGCAGTATGGAAGGAAATTTATTATTTTTTACATATTATGATCAACCATGATGAAGTATTAATTAAGGTTGCTCAACACTCTTCCCTCCACTGTTTTAAGGCTCTCTAGATGTAGGAGCATTTAGCATGCTGTACAAAGCTACTACTAAAAATAGCTACCTTTGTTTTATGCGCAATATATATTGTCATTGATTTCCATGTTTCTTTTGACTTAGCATAGAGAATATGCTCTCATTATTTGCTTTGTTTTTCTCTTATTTTCCTTCTTTCCTTCTCCTCCTCCTCCTCCTCCTCCTCCTTGCGATGCTTGTGTGCATCTTTCAATCCCCCCCCTCCTACCCGCCCGCCCTTTCGACGTGCAAACAACCAACTTCAACCCTTCCAACACCCCCCACCCGCCCACCTC